CGGTCGTCCCGCGATGAACGCCTCCTCTCGTGGGCTGACGACTTGGGGCACGGTGACTACCGGGCCCGGAGCTGAGGCCACGGCAGCGTTGCAGACGACCCCTTGTTTACGTTGAAGGACCTCGTGCGCTTGTATGCTCGTAGCGACCCGTAAGGAAGAAATATCGGTCTCGTCGGCCGTGTTGATGGGGACCCCCAGGTCCTGCGCCAACTTGAGCAGTTGCTCCAAAACCATCGCATCTTGGCCTCCGCGTCCATACGAGGGAACGCGGCGTCGGCGAGAGCCAGCAACGCCGTGCGATAGGCGAGCACGGTCTCCGTGTCCGCCTTCCGTCTTGCATAAAAATGATGGCGACACGCCGAGGGAGGACCATAGACCTTGGCCATGAGAGCCAGCGCATCCTTGAGCGTGGAGCGGTCCGACCTGCGTGCGGACGTGAAGGCCGCGAGCGCGTTGTCGTCCAGCATGGCAGGCAGTGCCCGCAGTGCCGTAGCGTCGGACCAGGCGGACATCTCCTGATGCGCCAAAAACCTGCGCTGAAATTGGCCCCAGTCCCCGCCTTCCGCCTTGAAGGCTGACAACGTGGGAAGGCGCTGTTGAAAGATGAAGTCGTCCTCCTCCTCGTGCTTCCTCTCCGCCGCCCCGTTGGTGTGTGAGATGGCGGCCCCAGTGGCGGGTGTTTGATGGCGGTCCGCAGCGCGCGTTGGTGACGTAAGCGGGCGCGCTTGGAGAACCGCTGCCACGTGGTGATGGCCATTCCCGCCAAAAGTCGGCGCAGATGAAATGGCGGGAATCGCCAAGTCATTTTGGCGGGAATCTGCGGGGCGACCCTGTAGAACGTCCGCCGCCGTCCCCGCTCCTCCCGACGAGCTGATCTCCGCCAGGATGGACGCGGCGGCGAACAGCAGCTCCGCCAGGCGGGAGTGCGCCTCGCGGAGCACGGCGTCGGTCCCCCGTCGCTCGTCCGGCGCCGTCGGCGGATCCTGCAGCGTGGGCAATTCCTCGTCCTCACCCCCCGATGCCAGCTGGCCCGAGTCGTCGAGGTTGTCCCCGCGGTCAATCCCGTGGGTCCGACGGGTCTTCCTTGTATCCATGCTTGGAAGACCGTTTCACTTCTGACGCCAGTTGAAGTATTGGAATTGACGGCAGGAACTTCTTGACGGGTAACACACTTTTATTAAATCTTGACGTGTCACAATACAACGGGTGGTCTCTATCCTTTGGACTATACACTCCACTTAACTCGTGTAGACTCTATGCTTCTGGCTACACACAATACACCTGACTCGTGTAGACCCTATGCCTCTGGCTACACACAATACATTTGACTCGTGTAGACCCTATGCCTCTGGCTACACACAATACATTCGGCTCGTGTAGACTCTATGCCTATGGCTACACACACTACACTCGCCTCTGGGTTACACAGAGTCCCGGTCCCGTTAGGACAGCGGGACTAGGTACCGCAGGGCCCTATGTCTTCAACCCCGTCTTCATTCTTCGCTGGTTACATACTGCTCTTACGCCTGTGTGCATCCCCTTTTATAGCCCCTGCTCACGAGAGACGGAGCTGATGCGGACGTCGACGTGAGCATCGCTCCTTAGTGAACCAATCACGACGCACTCTCTCTACGATCCGTTTTCCCCAGCGCGTGTTAACACTACTCCACCAATCACACCGCGCTGCCACCCGGTCACTCCCTCTCAGCGCGTCACCAGCCCACAGCCAATCAGTACCCCGTAACCCACGACCCCGCGCTGACCCCTGATCCTCCACCGTCAGCGCGTGTCACCACATACACAGCCAATCATTACGCGCTGGCCTACGATCCCTAATCCCAGCGCGTATCACCTCTACACATGTATACGCTTCCTTGTGCACTTCTCAACATTGGCTCCATTGTCTTCATCAATGGCCATGTTTGTGATGAGTCTGTTATTGCAGGTCATGTCCCCTGATTAACGAGCATTCTGCTTAAGGCAAAATGCTTTCTTACGTTTTATTATTAAGTTCAGATTACAATAACCACTTTGCTCTGCCCTGATACGTCTCTCTTAATACTTTTCATCCCTCTCCCCCTTCAACAACCGCCCTACGTGCAAATGCACTTCTGTGTTTTCAATCTGTGTCCCTGTTCTTTTTGCGATCAGTTTGTTATTCCCCCGCACCTCTATTAAAGCATGGTTGACTGCGTACGGTGCGAAAGAAGTTCACCAAGCAAACATACGCTGCGTTGAACAAGTGACTCTACTGCATATTCACACTGGAGACACAGGAGGGTGTTGCTATGAGATTGCCAACTTTTTGACTGTAGACCAAACCTGGACAGATTTCTCAGTCAGCACTCGGTCTATAATTATCAGAACTTCACAGTAAACGACAATAACGTTCAACACAATAGGGGTGCTATATCTCGGTACAAATTGATACCTACCAAATGAACAGAGATGGATATTCCCGGACAGGTGGCAACTCTCGCCATGCCCATGCAAACATACACAACATCCTGACCATGAATCGGCTATGCGGCTGATTAAATGTCAAGCATTGGAGATTTAATTTTGATCAAATTTTGTTCATTTTGATCGATTATTGCGCAGTTTAAATATGTATTTTCATATCAGTATTTACGTCACTACACTGATGTCCATTCGGCTGTACTCAGCTCACCGTTCATTTAAAATAATTTAAAATGCTGCTTAATAATTAAACATCCTCAGTTGTGCATCATGAGGTTCAGTATATAAACTGGACTTAGAACATTGGGTTTTATGCAACAAAAACTTTATTTAAAAATGTCTTTTAAAAAAATACAGTATACGGACGAAAGCCACAAATCAAACGTTGTTTTTGTTTATGTACTGCATACAATGTTAACAGTAAGAGCTAAAAGCAGGAACGTACATGTACACCTAAATAACTATATTCGTGTGTAAACAATAAATTGCTTACAATATTGTACTTATTGTTGCCCCGTAAAATGCAACATTCTTAATCTAATGAGTCGCATTGAAAATAACGTCCTGCAGGATGTTAAATTACTGTTAAGATACGACACATTACATATATTTAAACATTCTCCTGAAGACTTAAAATACAAAATTCATGACATTGTATCAAATTAAATTCCAGCACGAATACTGTTTAAATAGCCAGACACGGGAATGGATGCTCCAGGACGCCACTCTACACGTGAGTGGAGCCAGTGGACTGAGAGGCCGTGCCAGGAGTCGATGTCGCTGGAAGCTCAATGGCCACCACCCTCTCGGCCGCTGCAGGGAGGGCGCGGCGCTGAGCCTTGACCTTCAGCTTCCCGTCTTGGGTCAAGCAGCAGCTCACGCTCTGCGGGTCCACGTCCCTGGGCAGCTGCGTCTCCCTGTGGAACTCCTGGCAGCTGTGGCTGTAGCTGCCGCTGCTGACATCTCCGCTCTTCACCTCGCGTCATCCAGCCACCACCAGCTTGTCTCCAGACACCTTCACGGCCAGGTCCTGTGGGGAGAAGTCCTGCACGTCCAGGGACGCGACGAACCCGTCTCCCTGCTCCTGTGGCTCTTCAATCTGGAACCCACTGCTCACGGCCGGCTGCTGCAGCAGTGCGTCTCCGAGGCTGCCAGGAGCCCACGTGTGGCTGCTGAGCTGATCGACTCCACGGAAAATTCTCTCCATCCTCTCGATCTCGCTCCTCATGTCCCGCTGCAGGTGCTGGAAGAAACTTTCACCGCGGGGGTTCCAGACCGGCCAGCCTGGCCAGACGCTCCTCTCCACCACGTGCATCGCAGGGAAGTAAACACTCAGGGCCATGCTTGCTTGTTGATGTGCTTCACAGTGAGGCTCGCTTCAGCTGTAAACGCTGCTTCTTCCTCCGCCGATGTTCTGCCAGTGCAGCTACAGGAGCTGCTTTTATAGACCTGGCAGTGCTGACGAGCAGATGCCAGGGGGAGCCAGAATAGTCCAGAATGACGCAGCTGCTCCCAGGGCCTTCCATCATCGGCAAAGAATCAAGAGCGTGACTCGTGTCTCGGGCTGCAGTCTGTGAGCAGTTTATTGCCATGGCATTCACTCTGCACTGATAATTCACTCTGCATTGATAATTCACTCTGCATTGATAATTCACTCTGCACTGATAATTCACTCTGCATTGATAATTCACTCTGCACTGATAATTCACTCTGCACTGATAATTCACTCTGTACTGATAATTCACTCTGCACTGATAATTCACTCTGTACTGATAAATCACTATGTAACACGATATTTGCTCCTGGGTAGTAAGTGTTATTTTCTAATTGCTTATACCTCAAAAGTATAGAAAATGGCTATTATTCACCATAATCTTTCCTTTTGTGACCAGGACTTTACATGAAGGAATAACTCAAATGCACACGTTTTCTAATTGAAAATAGGTAAATTTCTAAATATCAATGTCTTGGTCACAAAAGCAAAGTTTGTAGGGAATAATAGCCATTTTCTATACTTTTGATGCGTACGCAATTAGGAAGTAACACTTACGACCCAGGAACAAAAAACATGTTTTCGTCACACAGTGATATAATGAATGTAAAATAGAGTGATGTGATATTCTATATTGAATTGAAATTACTACACTTTGAAGCGTGATACAAACCGACACTTACATTCTCGCTTACACAGCACAATGACATCATCAGCCTTATAAGGAAAGACTGAGGCACACAGTGAGATGAGCAAAGCCAACGAATGTGTCTTACTTTAAACTTTATTAATGCAAACTATACATTTTGTACAATGTTATTTTTAAAATATACGTAATGCTAAAGTTGGCAGCGTGATCTGGATGCTATTGTAGTGAACTTGTCGCAGACTGCAACCTGAGACATGAGTCACTGATATTTTCTGTGGATGAGGGAAGCCCCTGGAAGCAGCTGCGTCATTCTGGACGCTTCTGACAGCCCCTGGCATCTGCCCGTCAGCACTGCCAGGGCTATAAAAGCAGCTCCTGTAGCTGCACTGGCAGAACATCGGCGGAGGAGGAAGCAGCGCTCACAGCTCAAGCGAGCCTCACTGTGAAGCACATCAACAAGCATGGCCCTGAGTGTTTACTTCCCTGCGATGCACGTGATGGAGAGGAGTGTCTGGCCAGGCTGGCCGGTCTGGAACCCCCGCGGTGAAAGTCTCTTCCAGCAGCTGCAGCGAGACATGAGGAGCGAGATCGAGAGGATGGAGAGAATCTTCCGTGAAGTCGATCAGCTCGGCAGCCACACGTGGGCTCCGGGCAGCCTCGGAGACGCACTGCTGCAGCAGCCGGCCGTGGGCAGTGGGTTCCAGATTGAAGATCCACAGGAGCAGGGAGACGGGTTTGTCGCGTCCCTGGACGTGCAGGACTTCTCCCCACAGGACCTGGCCGTGAAGGTGTCTGGAGACAAGCTGGTGGTGGCTGGACGGCGCGAGGTGAAGAGCGGAGAAGTCAGCAGCGGCAGCTACAGCCACAGCTGCCAGGAGTTCCACAGGGAGACGCAGCTGCCCAGGGACGTGGACCCGCAGAGCGTGAGCTGCTGCTTGACCCAAGACGGGAAGCTGAAGGTCAAGGCTCAGCGCCGCGCCCTCCCTGCAGCGGCCGAGAGGGTGGTGGCCATTGAGCAGCCAGCGACATCGACTCCTGGCACGGCCTCTCAGTCCACTGGCTCCACTCACGCGTAGAGTGGCGCCTGGAGCATCCATTCCAGCAGCCTGCTTCATTGATGTTTTGATTGTACGGATATTTTGTTAAATCGGTTTCTATTCACGATATGTTCACTAATATTTGCGTTTTCAGCGTTCACATTCAAATCCATTGGAGTAAGTGTATCGCTGTTCATGATTGTCAAATTGTGTTGCATCGTTTTAATATCCCATTACACGTTCATATATTGCAATAAGATAATGCTGAATGTTATCTGAAAGTATTTTTCATCGTTATACATTGCTATTTTTCACATAGTATACATTTCTAACTGAATCTAAATTTTTATTGACAATACTGTACTGTTCTTGCCAATGGTATTTGACGAATGTTTTTTATATATATAATAAAATGCCTTTCAATTTCATGCAACAGTTGTACTGTTCTTTTTGTCTGCATTGTGTTTGTTTCATCGTTACTGTGGATCAGAGTTCTGGACACAGAATTCCCCAAAACTAAGACAACCGGTAACGCTGCCTCATTGCTCCCTGTCCATGACAACTCCCAAGGTGCCAGGCTCACGCCGTCGGCCCTGCCTGTGTGGTCGTCCTGCCCAGTCACTCCGCACTCAGAATTGGGGCCGGGGTTGCAATGATCTACGTGAAATGTTACCACAAATGCCATTTCAGTTATATCGTCCTTCAACTGTTAACAAATCATACTGTTGTAATGCGAGCGTAAATGGGGTTGCTGCTGGACTCTGGCCCAATCACACGACCTTTGGTATTGGGGGCGGAGCCCGGTATGGGGGGCGTGTGAGAGGGGCCGCCGTTCACCTCGGCTCCAATGGGAAGCGAGGTGAATGGAGGTGGAGCCAGCAGGGCAGTATGGGAAGGCCGGAGCTGACGATCCGGATGGGAGGAGTCAGGGTCACGTGGGAGAGAGGTTATAGAGGGGAGCCCAGAAGAGATCGAGGCCAGTTGATGGAGTGAAGAAGCGGGACCACGTTGGGTGGCCGCCGTGCCATCAGAAAAGTGACTTTACCGAAAGAACCAAGAAGATGAATCCCTGAGGTCACGAAAGCTTTAAATCGAAAATTAACTCTGTTATTTATGGCTTTGGGCTGTTGCCAACAAAAGTAGCTGGGCAACAGGCTACACGGATTTGCCGTGTAACAAATTAACGTGACGATTAGTTGAAATGGTAGACGATGTTCAGAAGACAATCGGGGCACCAAAAAGGTGGGAATTACCAAAACAGTATCGAGGAATGACACGGTTTATTTAAAATAGCACGTTCAATTAATGCGCCTTTTAATGTCATTCTTTTGGCAAACTTTTTTATCTTAGAGAATATTAAAACAACCTTAAGACATTAAACTAGTACAATTAAAAATTTACGCTTTATTTTAAAATTAACAAAATAAAGAAACGATCTAATTCTTATACTGTTATAGTTTATCTTTCTGAATACACATTTAATGAAAATGTGATTTAGTAAATGGATGTTTTTGAAGGTGATATCGTGTAAATGCTTTCCAAAGCTACTTTGCAGCCGTCACCATCTCCAGCCGTGATTTCTCCACTTCTGTACGAAGCCATCAACATCTCTTGCGGATTTGCAATGCAAAAATTGTCTGGCGCATGCCCACAGGTTGATTTATTTGCTACATCTTCGCAGTGGACGCTCTGTCGGTTGCGTTCCCTCCTTTAGCTCCCATTCCCACGTTAGTCTCGACCACCGGCCGTCATCCCTTCAAGTTGTGTGTCCTGCCTCACCCCACCTTTCGAAACTAAAATGATGCCTTTCATTTGCATATGATATCCAATTGACGTGTCCGTCTTCCAGTCTCAGTATGATTCCTAGCATGTGCATGTCTTCGCTTCCTTGTGCACTTCTCAACATTGGTTGCATTGTCTTCGTCAATGACCATGTTTGTGTTGCTTCTGTTGTTGCAGGTCACGTCCACTGATTAACAAACATTCTGTTTTAGGCATAATGCTTTCTTACTTTTTATTAAGTTCATATTATAATAACAACTTTGCTCTGCCCTGATACATCTCTCTTAATAATTTTCATCCCTCTCCCCCTTCACCAACCGCTCTACGTGTAAATGCACTTCTGTGTTTTCAATCTGTGTCCCTGCTCTTTTTGCGTTCAGTTTGTTATTCCCCCGCACATCCAATAAGCATGGTTGGCTGCGTACGGTGCGAAAGAAGTTCACCATGTAAACATACGCTGCGTTGAAACATGACCCGACTGCATATTCACACTGGAGACACAGGAGGGTGTTGCTATGAGATTTCCAAATTTTAATCGTAGACCAAACCTGGACAGATTTCTCAGTCAGCAGCCCGGTCTATAATTATCAGAACTACACAGTAAACGACAATAACAATCAAAACAATGAGGGTCCTATATCTCAGTACAAATACCTACAACCTGAACACAGATGGTAATTCCCGGACAGGTGGCAACTCTCGCCATGCCCATGCAAACATACACAACATCCTTACCATGAATCGGCTATGCGGCTGATTACATTTCAAGCATTGGAGATTTAATTTTGATCCAATTCTGTTCGTTTTGATTGATTTTGGCGCAGTTTAAAATATATATTTTTATATCAGTATTTACTTAACTGCACTCATGTTAATTCTGCTGTACTCAGCTCACCATTCTTTTAAAATAATTAAAAATTCTGATTAATAATTAAACATCCTCGGTTGTGCGTCCTGAGGTTCAGTATACAAACTGGATTTAGAACATTTGGTTTTATGCAACAAAAACTTTATTTCAAAATGTATTTTTAAAAAATATACGGACGAAAGCCACAAATCAAACGTTCTAAATAATACTGAATGTACTGCATACAATGTTAACAGTAAGAGCTCAAAGCAGGAACGTACATGTACAACTAAATAACGAAATTCGAATGTAAACAATAAATTGCTTAAAATATTGTACATATTGTTGCCCCGTAAAATAAAACATTCTTAATCTAATGAGTCGTGTTCAAAATAACGTCCAGTAGGATGTTAAAATTACTGTTAAGATACGACACATTACACGCCTTTTAACATTCTTATGATGACTTAAAATACAAAATTCATGACACTGTATCAAACTGAATTCCAGCACGAATACTGTTTAAATAGTCAGACACGGGAATGGATGCTCCAGGCGCCACTCTACGCGTGAGTGGAGCCAGTGGACTGAGAGGCCGTGCCAGGAGTCGATGTCGCTGACTGCTCAATGGCCACCACCCTCTCGGCCGCTGCATGGAGGGCGCCACGCTGAGCCTTGACCTTCAGCTTCCCGTCTTGGGTCAAGCAGCAGCTCACGCTCTGCGGGTCCACGTCCCTGGGCAGCTGCGTCTCCCTGTGGAACTCCTGGCAGCTGTGGCTGTAGCTGCCGCTGCTGACTTCTCCGCTCTTCACCTCGCGCCGTCCAGCCACCACCAGCTTGTCTCCAGACACCTTCACGGCCAGGTCCTGTGGGGAGAAGTCCTGCACGTCCAGGGACGCGACAAACCCGTCTCCCTGCTCCTGTGGATCTTCAATCTGGAACCCACTGCTCACGGCCGGCTGCTGCAGCAGTGCGTCTCCGAGGCTGCCCGGAGCCCACGTGTGGCTGCTGAGCTGATCGACTCCACGGAAGATTCTCTCCATCCTCTCGATCTCGCTCCTCATGTCTCGCTGCAGCTGCTGGAAGAGACTTTCACCGCGGGGCTTCCAGACCGGCCAGCCTTGCCAGACGCTACTCTCCATCACGTGCATCGCAGGGAAGTAAACACTCAGGGCCATGCTTGTTAGTTGATGTGCTTCACAGTGACGCTCGCTTCAGCTGTGAGCGCTGCTTCCTCCTCCGCCGATGTTCTGCCAGTGCAGATACAGGAGCTGCTTTTATAGCCCTGGCAGTGCTGACGAGCAGATGCCAGGGGGAGCCAGAATAGTCCAGAATGACGCAGCTGCTCCCAGGGCCTTCCATCATCGGCAAAGAATCAAGAGCGTGACTCGTGTCTCGGGCTGCAGTCTGTGAGCAGTTTACTGCCATGGAATTCACTCTGCACTGATAATTCACTCTGCACTGATAATTCACTCTGCACTGATAATTCACTCTGCACTGATAATTCACTATGCACTGATAATTCACTATGTAACACGATATTTGTTCCTGGGTAGTAAGTGTTACTTCCTATTTGCTTATGCCTCAAAAGTATAGAAAATGGCTCTTATTCACCACAAACTTTCATTTTGTGACCAGGACTTTACATGAAGGAATAACTCAAATGCACACGTTTTCTCATTGAAAATAGGTAAATTTATAAATATCAATGTCCTGGTCAAAAATTCAAAGTTTGTGGGGAATAATAGCCATTTTCTATACTTTTGAGGGATAGGCAAATAGGAAGTAACACTTACAACCCAGGAACAAACAAAACAATTTCGTCACACAGTGATATAATGAATGTAAAACAGTGATGTGCTCTTCTATATTGAATTGAAATTACTACACTTTGAATGGTGATACAAACCGACACTTACATTCTCGCTTACACAGCACAATGACATCCTCAGCCTTATCAGGAAAGACTGAGGCACACAGTGAGATGAGCAAAGCCAACGAATGTCTTACTTTAAACTTTATTAATGCAAACTATGAATTCTGTACAATGTTATTTTTAAAATTTACGTAATGCTAAAGTTGACAGCGTGAACTGGATGCTATTGTAGTGAACTTGTCGCAGAATGCAGCCTGAGACATGAGTCACTGATATTTTCTGCGGATGAGGGAAGCCCCTGGAAGCAGCTGCGTCATTCTGGACGCTTCTGGCTCCCCCTGGCATCTGCTCGTCAGCACTGCCAGGGCTATAAAAGCAGCTCCTGTCGCTGCACTGGCTAGAACATCGGCGGAGGAGGGAGCAGCGCTCACAGCTGAAGCGAGCGTCACTGTGAAGCACATCAACAAGCATGGCCCTGAGTGTTTACTTCCCTGCGATGCACGTGATGGAGAGGAGTGTCTGGCCAGGCTGGCCGGTCTGGAACCCCCGCGGTGAAAGTCTCTTCCAGCAGCTGCAGCGAGACATGAGGAGCGAGATCGAGAGGATGGAGAGAATCTTCCGTGAAGTCGATCAGCTCGGCAGCCACACGTGGGCTCCGGGCAGCCTCGGAGACGCACTGCTGCAGCAGCCGGCCGTGAGCAGTGGGTTCCAGATTGAAGATCCACAGGAGCAGGGAGACGGGTTCGTCGCGTCCCTGGACGTGCAGGACTTCTCCCCACAGGACCTGGCCGTGAAGGTGTCTGGAGACAAGCTGGTGGTGGCTGGACGGCGCGAGGTGAAGAGCGGAGAAGTCAGCAGCGGCAGCTACAGCCACAGCTGCCAGGAGTTCCACAGGGAGACGCAGCTGCCCAGGGACGTGGACC